GGTTCAAACCCACCAGCCACTCCTCAGAAGGAAGATGGGGCAATCTACTTCCATAGTGATCCTGCCTCGGAAACCCAAGGAGGGGTCGTTATGAGTTGGGTCCCACTCGACGGCACATAACAACAACAACCATTATCACAGAACAAGTACTGAAGGGTGATTTGGAGCTGAGAGCCAATAGATTCATAGCTAGCACTATGAAATAGCTTTTTTCTCCATAAACCACACATAGCAAGTTCCAATTTCCCTACCATAAGTGAAGAAATTGCTACCACATCTCTTCTTTGTTTCCCATTTACCCATAAACTGTGTATAGAAACTAGATTTTTCAGGAGCACATCATCATCATGCTATTTGAATATAAAGTCCCCAAAAAATCTTCTTCCTAATATCCTTCATCTTAGTTGAGCCACTGATATGTCCAGACCCTCAGTTTTCTTGAGCCTAGAAAGTAGTTGCCCTCTAATGAGTTTCTCATCTGCCCAGGGAGCCTGTATATCTTTGTTTCCCACTCGTGAAACAGCGGACACATAGAATGGAGACTTTCCAAGATCGAGTTTCCAGCTGACTCCACTTCCCTGTTCAGAAATGAGTGTCATATGGGACCGTCTTCTCCCGAGATGTGTCAGAAAGTAGGGAAGTTGCCAGTGTCATGGTTCCACTTGTTGCTTATCAAAGCAGGAACCGCTTTGGGACTAATGTTCTTTTGTTGTTTGGCACTGACCTCGTTATTCTTAGATGGTTATTATTTTAAAGTACCATTTTTAAGCTTTAGTGCTATCTCAAAAGTTTGGCACTCAAGGCACTAAAATATCTGATAGTTATATGCCAGGCAATGTCTAAGCATGATGGTTAAGCAAGAAGGAATGGAAGCAAAACTGCCTGAGTATAACTTGGCTCTACCATTTAAAAGCTATGCAACATTGAGCAAATTAAAAAAAAAAAAAACTTTTGTGCCTCAGTTCCCACATCTGTACAATATAGATAATAACAGTATCTCCTTCTTAGGGAGGTTGTGAAGATGTGAGGATTAAATTAGTTAATACATGTAAGGGGCTTAGAAGAATACTTAGAATATAAACCCACTGCCATCAAGTCAATTCCAACTCATAGTGACCCTACAAGACAGAGTAGACCTGTCCCATAGGGTTTACAAAGTTGTAAATCTTTATGGAAGCAGACTGCTTCATCTTTCTCCTGCAGAGCCACTGGTGTATTTGAACCACCAACCATATGGTTAGCAGCCAAATTCCTTAACTACTGTGCCACCAGAGCTCCTTACATAGAATATAGTGAGCTCTCAGTAGACATTAGTTATTATTTCAGTCCATCTTCATCACAATGTTATGAAATAGGTACTATTTTTATATCAATTCTATAGATAAGGAAACTGAGGCACACAGAAGTATTACATAACTTGCCTACTGTCCTGCAGCTAGTAAGTGGTAAAGCTCCTAATCACTATGCTACAGGTGCCTCTCTAACCCCAAACCCACTGCCATCAAGTTCATTCTGATTCATAGCGACCCCCATTGGCTCTCCGAGGTGGTAAATCTTTACAGAAGTAGATTGCCCAGTCTTGCTTCTACAGAGTGGCTAGTGGGTTTAAACCACCAACCTTTTGGTTAGCAGTAAGATGCCTTAGGCACTGTGCTACCAGAGCTCCTTAGCTGCCTCTCTGTTGTTGTTATATGCCAAGTCGGACCTGACTCATAGCGACCCCTACTTGGGTTTCCGAGGCAGTATCACTATGGAAGTAGATTGCCCCATCTTCCTTCCGAGGAGTGGCTGGTGGGTTTGAACCGCCAGCCTTCTGGTTAGCAGTCAAGTGCCTTAGGCACTATGCTACCAGAGCTCCTAGCTGCCTCTCTAGGCGATCCTAATCTAATTCTAAGATCACAAACTGCAGGCATATTACTTCAGTGACTTTCTTTTCTGTCTTTCTATGGATGGTTTTCCATTTACATCTGTTGTAGGCAGAATTCTAAGATAGCCCCTACAATCTATGTCCTTTGGTGTATTATCCCTTCTTCTTCAGTGTAGATGGGACCTGTGAATATAATGGATATCACGTATTTCCACTTATTTGCTCTAATTCACTCTGAAGAATAACTGTCCTGGTACTCCACTTATTTGGAAAAGCATAAATGGAAATTCTGTAAGTAACTCAATCATGCCTGAGTGTGCTCTGAGGCCAGCATAAGACCTCTTTCCTATCCATTAGCTTTTCACTAAGTTTATCTTAGAGCACTTTCTACATTTCCTTTTTAAAATACAATGACAAAAACTTCACTTATTAGTCTAAAAGTATCTGATAAATTTAGAGATGATGAAAGAATGCTGATCTGTTATTATTGGTTAATGTATTAATGTAGGGTTTGTTTGTTTTTTTTAATCTCCACAGTGACTAAATGCTGCTTTTACCATTGTTTTTAAACCATTATTTCTTTTATACTAAATATCCTGTGTTCAGATCTTTTTTCCCTTAAGAATTTTTACATTTGAGTGAACCAGCCATGTATGTATAGAGAGAAGACAACAAAATATAACCACTGCCATCAAGTTGATTCCAACTTATAGCAACCCCCCCATTGAGTGTCCAAGGCAGAAAATCTTTACGGCAGTAGATTGCTCCATCTTCCTTCC